GAAGATGATATTAAAAGCAAATCGGTTGGAACTTTTTCCCTCTTCCTCTGTAGAATTATGAGACATCATGAGCCAAAAAAAATTTCACACAGAAATTTAGTTGAACTCGGCTATATTGGCAGAAAAAAAATCACCAAATTTAATTCCATCAATGGTGTCCGTATTGTGTTAGCGTTAAAAAAAAGGATATTCAAATATTTGAATAGGAAGGAATTTAATCATCACTGGATATTTTCAAGCGCTTTTCGCTCTATTTACATTAAACTCTATTCGCAATATTATAGCTGCAAAATGGATTTTTGCACCGTAGTGTTTTTCTCCTCATCCCCATATAATAATTGCGGTTTTAATTTTTGCCCTATGCAAAAAACAATTATGAATTCATGCCAATGTTTGTTTTGTATATTATTAAGAGACACGTAAACATAGCGAGACTTCGCGCTTGTTCACCAATTTATGAAGACAGGTAATTAAATGCCAGTCAACAAAATATTTGCCAGACTTTTCTGTGACTCTGCAAAGAATGGAAATCTCATTTAGCAAATGTGACTTGTTATCAATTTCGATGCTGTCTGTGATGAAAGAGGTATATCTTGCCATGGTAAGGAATAAATAAAAATTAGGAGAAATGACTCTCCTGTCTTCCTCAGGGTCGCCTAGATGGCAAGCATTCTGCTTTGTTCACGGGTGTATAAGTTATATGTTGAGAAAAGGAATTAAATTAATGTGGAAACTTTTCATGAAGTCTGTCTTATCGAACTTTTAATGTGTGTGAGCGTTGTACTTTTTCCTCTGTTGCCCCTTTTTTGTCCTCCTATCTATCTATATTTCGTATTTAAAAGCTCCTGCTGAAAGGACTTTCTGCAACTCTCTCTCTCACTCTCACTGTTCGTCTTGTAGAATTTCCGGCTGCAAAAATATAAAACTTTGACCATTCTTTGGCAATTTTCGGTGTCTTTGCTCATTTAGAGATTTTTCTGCTCAATAATATTTCACAGTGACAGCCAAGAAAGATCTCCTCATTGTTCTTCGCGCGGCTCTTAACAGAAAAGTTTCGCCCTGAATTTTAAATATCCAGAATACAAAACTGTCGATATATAGTACAGCCACTATCTTCACTGGCATGAACTTTTTCACGGCAGATTGAATGCGGATGGATAACTTACTGCAAAACTTCTTGAGAAATCCTTGGCATTTCATGAATGAAATTGAGAAGCAATTGATTTTCGATTGACTCTTCACAATTTTACATCAATTCACCGGCATTTATTGCGCTCTCAAGGGTGAATCGCAAATAGGATCAAAAGAAATGAGATTTGTGCTTACAAAAAGTTATGGCAACTTTCTGCATCGCATTATAACTTCTATAGTAAAACAAAAAATTTGAAAAGTTTGAAGTTTTCACATGCGCAATTAAATATTTCAATGAAAATTGTTAATTTTAAGTTTGCCAGAACAAAGAATACTGTTGACAGTTTTCAATACAATATACAGTTTCGAATAATTGAAGTCTTCAAACTTGATTTTCAATTAGTAAGTAACACTATAAGAAATAACACTTCAAAGAAATTTGAATGATACAGCGTGGGCACTAATTATAGGTCCACTGCCGGTATCCGGGGTGTAGGTAGTCTGGGACAAAATCAAAAAATATCAAATATGGCGTTTGATTGCCTATCCATAGCCAAAACAAAACCCCCAATATGAGGCCCCTCCGCCGGATCCTAGGGATTCTAGGGAACTTTATCACTTTCTGGGCTGGCACTAATTATAGGTCCACTTGGGAATTTTCACTATATCTCAGTGAAAAAAAATCGGAAAATTCTGAAAATCATAAGAATCCTTCATTTTGAGCCCAGAGACCATTTACCATCGCCACACCCCGCCTCGGTCCTCCGTGGACCCCACTATTTAAGGTCTTTGCCTTGCATAACACGATATTCCAAAATGGCTCCTCCGCAATGGGACGGGGGGCCCAATGCCCATAAACTGCTTCATAGGGTAAGACTGAAGCCTTTTGAGCATAATTGGGCTATCTGACCCCGATACCATCCTTGAATCCTGGCCTTAAGCACTTCTTCCAGGGTCTTTTTCTGCTTCTAAGAGCCCAAACCACCCCAAATCCCGGACCACCCCCAATGAAATAGGGCGAAAAGTTCTTAGGAGACTTCTAGGAAACCCGAGGACCATAGATTCAGGGACGGGTAGCGCCTCAGAGAGAGCGCCCTAACGTAGAACGAGAGCCAGTTGAAATTCAATGAAAAACCATACACTTTTAGGTGGTTTTCGACTGGCTCTCATTCCACGTTAGGGCACTCCCTCCGAGGCGCTACCCGTCCCCGGATCTAGGGTCCTCGGGTTTCCTAGAAGTGTCCTAAGAACTTTTCGCCCCATTTCATTGGGGGTGGTCCGGGATTTGGGGTGGTTTGGGCTCTTAGAAGCAGAAAAAGACCCTGGAAGAAGTGCTTAAGGCCAGGATTCAAGGATGGTATCGGGGTCAGATAGCCCAATTATGCTCAAAAGGCTTCAGTCTTACCCTATGAAGCAGTTTATGGGCATTGGGCCCCCCGTCCCATTGCGGAGGAGCCATTTTGGAATATCGTGTTATGCAAGGCAAAGACCTTAAATAGTGGGGTCCACGGAGGACCGAGGCGGGGTGTGGCGATGGTAAATGGTCTCTGGGCTCAAAATGAAGGATTCTTATGATTTTCAGAATTTTCCGATTTTTTTTCACTGAGATATAGTGAAAATTCCCAAGTGGACCTATAATTAGTGCCAGCCCAGAAAGTGATAAAGTTCCCTAGAATCCCTAGGATCCGGCGGAGGGGCCTCATATTGGGGGTTTTGTTTTGGCTATGGATAGGCAATCAAACGCCATATTTGATATTTTTTGATTTTGTCCCAGACTACCTACACCCCGGATACCGGCAGTGGACCTATAATTAGTGCCCACGCTGTAGCTTTAAAGTGCAAAAAACCAAAGTTTAACGACGAGAGAAGCTCTAATTAAACATCATAAAGCACAGAATATATCTGCAAATGGGAACAAGACTTAAAGATAGGATTTTGTTAAATATACCGGAAAGTGTGTGCATGATAAAGGCAAACGAATAATTAATTTACTCAAAAAATTTATGACGCCAAGTGTTTGCTCTCTAAGCTCTCTTCCTCATGACAGCGTGCCTGCCAAAAGAGGGACGCAGTTTCCACACACAACTGCTAGAGCGAAAGATTATAGATTTAACACATTCTCCCATAAAAGTACCAGAGAATCCTCCCCGCCCCACATTTTCTCTCTCTGTCTCTCAGTCTCACCCCCCAAAATAATCACCCTGTACCATGCGACCCATTTTATATATTTAATTTCCTTTTCTGCAGCGTAATCTCTTCCCACTATAGCCAACCTCTGAAAGCAACCACCGTGAACTCTCTGGCGAACTGTTGTGGAATTTAACAGGCGGGAAAAAATTACGAGACGAAAAAAAAACCATAAGGATGAAGAAATTGAAGTATTGCAGAATGTTCCTTAATAGAAAATACGCTTTTTGCCCGTTTATCAGCGTCATCACAAGGTTTTTTGCTGGGTGTTCAAAGAGAGCACACTTTCCACTCCCTTGGAATTGTGCGCACAATTCACCAAGTGTTTCACTCAAAAATTCTCTTCGTCTCCTCTGTAATTTTAATTGGCACTCTAATTATAAAATTGCCATTAATTGGAAGTGAGAAGTGTGAGATCAGCAAGTTTGCAAAAAATTACAGCATCTGATATCCATGCTGTGAAATGCTACATTAAAGTGTATCGTGTAAAACTACTGGAAAGACAAAGACTGAGAACAATGGAGAGCTGTTAGCATTCTCTTTCTTTCTTCCGTAAGATTTCTGCGGTGCATATTGTGAACCCTAACAGATATATTCATAGGATGCAATGTGATCGGTTTAATTCGGAAAACATCCCCGCGAGCATCTTCAGAGTGCAACTCCCCCAAGAAATCAGCGGAAATTGCGACAAAAGCAATCGCTTAAGGGGAAACTTGAGCCACTCTTAGCGCTCTGTAAGCATTTCATCGGTCGGCTCTCCTGAGGACATGATGTGAATTAGGAGTGAAACAATTCATGGGGTCAGCAATAAGCGACACTCGAGAGGCGACATTTGATACACTATTGGCATTTTCAAGTGCAACAGTCTCGCTCATCGAGTCGTGAAAGTGTCATATAAATTGTCTGTTAACCCTCTCTTGCCAGATGCCCCGAGAGCTTCCCATCGTCATTGAAACTTTTGCCACAGAGTACCATTCACGTCACGGCAAAATTCCCTTCACATCAACACTTCATTATCGTCATTTTCTTTATGTGTACATACACACACTTAAATACACTTGAAGGAGAGCTGGAAGAGGGTGGCAAAAGTTCATCATTGGATACACTATAGAGTGGGTGGATCTTTTCCCCAGCTCAAATGTTACACCAAAGTGTTTCATAGACATTAAATGGGTTCCCATGATGAGGGGCCACCCTCGCAATTGCAGAGAGTGTCGGGTGAGGCGGTAAGTCATCTCGTGGAGCACACAATTCAGCAAAAGTCACGTTCGCGCCTAGGACTTTCCACCCACCGCCCATCGTCCATATTAAATTTCTAAAACTCAAATGATACAAGCACCAATTGACCCACATTCACACTCTTCTATAGCCGCTGAAGGCACTTTTTCAATACCCAACGTCCAGCTCAAATAAACACACACTTCAGCTTCTTCATCTCTCTTCACTACCAGATATAGCCCACCCCCAATCCGGGAGCTTTTCGCGTATATTCATGTGATGAAAAGAGAATATATCCCTCCTCTTCTCAATTGATACGTCAAATTACATAGAGCAAGACCCGGAGGGAGTTTTCCATCCAATCCAAAAATCCCAAAACTAATTGATGGATTTTGAGAGGGCGTCCGCACAAAGAATCAAATCATCTTCATCAGGGGCTTAAGAGTTGGTGATGAGAGACTTACCTGAATTTGGTTGTCCATTGCTGTTGGGACGCGCCGACGGTGCACCATCTCTCGCCTCCACTTCCAGCGCATAGGCGCCCTGCTTCTCCCGATCGAACACTACTTTTGTGAAAATTTCACCACTCTGAAGGTTTATCTCGAAGAACTCCTTGCCCTCATTCCTCGGCGAATCCACTATGTAGTAGTAAACCTGTCGAAGTGAAATCATTAGGAGGTGTAATCCCATAAATTAAGGTATCATGAGAACACGGGCAGTGCTAGAGACGAGTGGATATTACTGCAAATTACCCCAAGTGATCTCTTGATTTACGACAATAAGAAATGTGGCTGAAGAGAGATAATTTCATTTCAAATAGTCACATAAACATTTGTCATATTAATAATCTAATAATAAATAAATTTAAGCAGGATTGAAAATCGAAAGAGGCACTTTCAACCACCGACACCAACAGTATATTAACAGTCAAAAAATGTTCATTATTATTAATTAATATATTGTCATTAAGCACAGCACAAAGCATAGTAAGTGTTTCAATTAAAATGCATTCACACATGAAATCAAATGGAAAATCTCCGACAAGTGTGCACTTGAAATGTATAGTTTTTAATCACCAATTGCTCTAATTGAACTTTTTTCGATCAATTTGAAATAAATTAAGAGAAATGTGCGCACCAAGGTTAAAGAGGAGACACTCCACAGCGTCACATTAATTTCCACACTGTGCAGCGAAGTTCAACAATCAATTATGTGCATCATCACATTTTCCAGTGTGGATTCACCACTTCACATTTCAAACTAATACGTGAAAAACCTTATATTATTACCATTTAAGAAAATCCTCGGAAGGTACGGAAAAGATTTCCTCTCAAAAGGGAAAAAAGGTTCCCAGGGAGCTTTTTGTCCTATTTCATATCATCAAATAATTCAATAAACTATGTGTTAGCAATGGGAGGTGAATTCGATGATTGCGAATGGAAGAAAGGCAGTGTGCTTTCTTCTCAATTTTCACGAAATCCCCGAACTATAGAGAAGAGAAGAAATCATCTGGGATGGGAGAACAGACATGACTACGTCCCCAGCAACCCATATTCCCTGAAGAGAACTCAACACACAGCATATATACAAATTCTTCGGGGTTTATTTGAATAATAAAAGCCATCGTCCTTGGGCCCGACATTGAAAACTACATGTACAGAATAGAATATCGATGGAACTGAGTGAGGAAAATATTTAGAAGACATTGTCATGTCTTGAGAATCCACAAGACTATGCCGAGCAAATAAAATTTGTACATTAACGTATTTATGGTGGTTTTCGGGGTGAAGGCGACGAACAAAGGCGAAACACCACCCTCTTGAGAGAAACTTGTGGGCAACGGACAGAGCAAAGTCCCCACCACAGACAATGGCTGCGAAGGAGATTCACAAGAGTGCGGGTATCTCGGCGTGAGCAAACAGTCTTTTCAAACCCTCGCCACGGTTTTTTTTATTGATTGGGCATAACAAGAGGATGGGATCATCCACCCAGCGAAGCCCACACTGTCGGCGATGAAAGTGTGCTGATAGTTTTATGGCTGAAGAAAGGATTTGTCACAATCTATGTTCTCTTCTTCAAATTATATACTCGAGGCACAAGACTTGTGACCCCAGCCGTAGCATATAAAATACCTCTCAAGATCAATCTCACCGCTATAAATCCCTTATCATAGAGTCGTTTTAAGTGCAATTTATTTCACCCATGCAATGGCATCAAATTTTCCCCATCCAAACCACTTTTCCAACCCAACTCTTTTTTCTTCCTCACCCCTCAACTCAAACCCCTGGAGATGCCATTGGGGGAATTTTTATTATTTAAAGTTTGCCCCACTTTTTATGCTTCTCCACTTTAATATTTTCCCCGCAATTTCACTATAGCTGAAATCACAATTACTCCGAAGGGAGAATAAAAATTCCCAGAGAGCAATAAAACACAACAATAATCGCGATGATGCACAAGGAATGGTTGCAACATGCAAAAAGTGCATGAATTGAGGGCTGTTGTTACTTCACAATAAGTTTAGAGTTCATGTTTGCAGATGACGTGGCAGTCACATGAAAAATCACAACTTTCACGTAACTTCTGAACGGAAATGACTCTTTTGTTTATACCTCAAATAAACCGATAACTAAAAGATTGCAATATTGTATGGTTATGGTACTGATTTTTAAATTAAAATGTTAAATTGCAAAGGACTATTAACACGATAGAGGAAATGCATGAAAATTTCTGGAAACATTTCCACCACAGATAACAAATGGCAAATGCATAAAATCCACACGTCTCAGCAACCATAGCCAAGAATACTTATTTCCCATCAATGCGGTACTCACCTGATTATTTGGAAAAGTTCCATCCTTGTCAATGGCATTCACTTGAGTCACTTTAGTTCCGATTGGTTCTCCCTCAAGCACAGTTTCCTGCTCTCGTTCCGTGAACAATGGGATTTCGTCGTTAACATCTTCTAACATAATATAAACTGTGGCCTCGGATGCAAGCTGTTGCGCACCATTGTTCTATTTTTGTGTGAGAAGAGAGAAACACAAAGACTTTAGAGTAAAATCGTGGGGCGAGTAGAATGACATGCGATGTGAATTAAAAAACAGAGAGCTTTTGGAGCTCCTTCTCCCCTGATTTTCTAACCACGACCAAATTGCAACCGAAAATACTTCTCTGCTTTTGCGCTTTCAGCCTGAGGTAATATTAATTAAAATAAATCTAGGCGATGTTTGGTGAAGTACAAACTCCCCAGACGGCACCAATGCCAGCCAGGCTGGAAAGCACCCTGAAGACTTAACAATGCATTCTGCGAAATGTCATAGCTCTCTTCATTAAAACTTTCAGAGACATGCACTTGTCTTTGGAGTTTGTACAGGTAAACACTTCTATCGTGAAAATTACCTGCTCTATTTTTCCGTAACAAAATTAATATAATCGTACAGCGAAACTTTAGTACTGCAAGCATACTATGCACATACATACATAATAAATTAGCTGCAATTCAAGGCTTAAATTACACGAGATTTTTAATATTTACTCTTATAACTCAAGCAAGAAATTCCAACAAAGTCAAACATTGCCAATGTATAACCATATTTTCTATAAAATACGGTTAATTCTCAGATGAATTTGCCGAATATTCACCATTCAGGCCTCAGGCACTTTTTTTGCCATAACTTCTCAAATATCAAAATAGAACAATCACAAAATTCAAAACGATTTTTGCCATCATGTGTGAATCCAATAAAAGGATTTTGCCGAAAGGTGAAAAAACGTCGTTTTCCCTAAATACTCCCCACATGATGTATTATCGGTAAAGAGGCAGACGCAGAAAAAAAGACGACATGTCTCGAGGGCAAAAATACCAAAAATTTCCCTCGCACCCTTGCAGCTCAATATTATTCCCTCAAACCATCTAAGCTAATATTTGCTCTGTAAGCTAATTTTTCAAGCCTCTCTACATTTACCTGTTGTCGGAGCTCATAAATCAACTTTTTACCCGACCCTCAAAAAAAAGCTCACAAAAATTCCGCCCCATGGAAAGAGTCAGAGAGGGAAGTATGAGCTTTTATGCTAAACAGTGTGTTTTCAGTAGTGGTAAACATTCAGGAAGGATCTCACAAGAGGTGTCACGTGGGGTGAAATCGCTCCAAAAATGCCTACTCGCAAAAGGTGGAAGTGAGAAGAACGGTGGAAAATTAAGATAATTCTGGATGGGTGAAAATTGTCATAAAACAACCCCGAGAAAATATATTCCACCCATTCATTCTTCACTCCCGGCTAAAGTATGTTCACAGAGGAATTTTTCGGGGTTTTCCAGGGTGAAATATTTGCTCCCTTGCACCACCGAAGGGAACCCAACTTCACATTCTTGATACTTCATTAAGGAACATTTAAGACATTCCCCAGGAATATGCGCATGATTTTTTCGCACTTCGCCAACCAACTTTTCAGTTCAGCCTCTCCACCCAAAATGTCTCAATTTAGAACTTTGTCGTGTCTTCTAAACGCGCAATTTCTCTGCTTGACGCCATTGGTCAAGACCACGGGAACAGCCTTCACACTATACTGCCCTTCTGCTATACTGTTTCTTCACCCTTGAGTCCCTCTGGTGAAATTCATTATTATATTGAACAACTGTTACACATAGCAGTGTTATAATTTGAAACAAGAAATAAATCCAAACGGACACAGAGGAAATTATATTACAATCGTAGCTTTCAGCTCTGCCCTAAAAGATGCGAGAGAGTTAGAACTGCTGCTTAAAAATGTTGAGAGTTTGTTAATTACAGAAGACGATTTATATATATATATATATATATATATCCAACTGAACGCATTATAAAGATATACTGTAATATCTATTTCGCAACTGTATTTCTATAAAGAATGATAAAGAATTTGCATTAAAAGTTCAAAGAAGTATATTAACTTCACGAGCATATATTTTGTCAGTCTTCTAATGATTTATTTATAAATCCTTACCCAATGAATTTTCCCAAACACCCAGCGAATGAACAGATAAAACGATCGATTCTAGGAATACGGCTAAAGTAAATCATCTCAGAATTGTGTGCAGAGCAGAGAAATATCAGTGTGCATTGTATTTCTTCATCGGGGACCGCTCATGAATTTCGCTTTGGTAAAATAAATTATAGAAAATTGTTTACCTCGACACGTATGGTGAGATTGTACTCCTTGATGCTCTCATAGTCCAAGGGATGATTGACTTTTATATCCGCCCATGTGTCGCCATTGTCCGGTCTTTGTTGTAAGTAAAACGTGTGATACTTGTTGGTTTGCGCTGTTGAGCCTGGCATAAGTCGATAGAAGACAGTCGGATTTCCCTCTATGCCAGAGCTAATCGAGGCAAAATTTTGCAATTCATGATTTTTCCACACACACACACATTTCATTCCATGCGCATTGTTTTCCATTTGCGATGTTCATCGATGCGGTCGCCATTGGTTTCCCGATGCACAGTCAGGAAATTCACACACCGTGTGAGAGGGAAAATAAACAAAAAGGAAAAATAGCACGTTAATAAAATTGCATTGGAGATACACATTGAAATTATATTACGCGACATAGAGCGTTGTATACCTTTTAAAAATGTAATACAACAACAGAAAAAGATTCTCTGGTGTGGAACCAAAAATCAAAAGCTCGTTCCATTTGGCAAAAACTGACAAAAAGCTCTCCTTGAAGTGGTGTGCAAAACAACTATAATATCTTCAAAATACAAAAAAGAGCAAAAATATTTGTCTCAACTTGTTTGCAATATATTGAGACAAGGAAAAAGGAGATAATACAGAGAGACATTGCTGCACGACAAAAATAGCAACCACTAGACGATATCATGCCACAAAATACAAAAATTAAGACATGACACGATTGAGTGGGTGTGTTTTCAAAAAGTATTGCCCGAGGTTAGGGATAATTCTCATCCCACAAAAAAAAAGAAGTTCAGTGAATGGGAAAAATACGATGGAGTCATTGAATTGATTGTACGGAATTGCCGCTGAAAATGCAAAACATCTCAGGAGGAATTCAATTAAATTTCTCAACTTGTCTTGTGCGAAATTATTCTCACAAGATTCTTCGGGGGGCATGTGGGGAGTATTGGTGGGAATTCGGAAACTTACCTCCCCGGAAAAGTAGACGAGAATTGATTCTCATTAAGACTTTTAGTGACTGAGACACACTCAAACGGAAAATTATAATATACTTTGAAGATGAAAAGCGGAAAAATCAGGAATTTCACCATTATAAATTTTTCAATGCGCGTAAAATTTGTATTTGCCCGAAATATATATAATTCACGTCAATTGAGGGGAAAAATTTAATAAAATTCAGTCTTCAAATTCCTGAATTTTCTCAGTAATTTATCCTCACAACTTAGTGCATGGAAATTAAATAATAGAAACACCCATTTCTTCACTTCCCTCCCCATCTGAAAAAATACAGGGCTACACACTCAGTCTTGTTGAACCGTCCTGTTTGTGTCTCTTGTGTTGAAAATTCGGTGAAATTATGCAAAAAAAATCTATAAATTGAATTGAATACTTATTGTCGAATCGCATGGCAATACATAGAAGTTGCCAAGTCGCCAGACTGAGTGTGTTCATTCACGTAGAGAACACGTCTCATTTAGGGGGAGCGAAATGAAGAAATCACAGCTCAAACGACCTACTAAATACGATAAATGCAAGAAATGTGATGCTCGAAGGAAGGCGGAGGAGGAACTTAATTGGCAAAAAGGAGTGGTGGAGAAGCAAACAGTGGAACAAATAATCTATAAATTTGTTAGTTGCATGAGTAGAAAACCACACAGACCTGGCCTTAATTGAAACCACTTTTCCACCAACTGGCATATTTTCCTTGACGTACATCGGCCCATAAACATTATGATCCCACACAGGTGGATTATTTGCTCTATCGACCACATCGATTTGCACCTCGACGGTTCGAGAGAGTGGCGGGTAGCCCTTGTCCTGGGCCATCGCCTCTAACTTATACGTCTCACGCTGTTGTCCGGGGCATTGGTAAAATCGTCACACAACGCGGCAAAGTCAAAAAACAAACAATTCCACATCATTAGATGACATCTTAATTGCAATTTTAACGTCTTTCGTCAAAAAAGTGGTTATCAAAAAAGTCATTTTGAAAAATTGGCATAGAATTATAAAATTTGTAGACTCTTCGTTGGCCGCTGTTGTATGCAAAAATAAGAGCTTACTTCTCAAGCTTAATTACTCAGCATTTTCTTTATACAAACACTAGAATATCTTATTATAGAAAAGAAAATCACTTATCAGTATATCGTGAGTGAGACAGAAGTTTTAAAACATAAAACCAAACTTTATTAAGATGCTTTATTTTGAGGTCAATTGAGTTTTATATCGAGTGTTTTATGGAAAATCATAAACACAGAATACACCATTTGAAATGTGCTCCAATAAGAGAATGCATTCATTTCGTACAGATTGCAATCCTTCTGTGAATTCCATGCGCAATTCAACTCTCAATCCAATGTACAGTGTTTTTTTCCTCCAACTTCGCAAATGTTATGATTGAGTTATTCAGTCTTGGTTAGAAATGGAAAAACATGAGGAACTTTCAGTCATGAATATTATGCCAACGCATATTTTACGATTAGTTTTAAAGCTTGAACGGCTTGAACATTCTGAGTGAAAATGCAGAAACTCCAGAGAACTTCCAAATCATCGCACATCGCATGAGAGTTTATACATATATGTACATATGCACATAAGCATACATGGACTGGAGGAAATTCATTTCGATTCACTCAAATTCACAAAACAATCGCGTCCCTACTTATAGATTTATTAAATATTTTATCAGGCTGTGGAAGTGAATAGTACAGCGTACCTTCATATCCAAAGATACTAATAGAATTTTGCAAAGCATTTCCAAACACACTCGAATATATCACTTGACCTCAAAATGCGACGCCCTTTAAATTTTTGCAGTGTGTCTTATCAAATAGAAGCTCGGCGCAATCCTGATGATGTGTCCAAATTATATATCATGTTAGTATTCAACACACCAAATTAAACCACTCATTAGCTAAATACATCATTATTGGTAGTTCATAGAACACTCTCTCACTCTCTCTTTGTCGTTATGCGCTGAAGAGTTCAGCGATTGTCAAATAAACCAGCTGGCCATCCGATAGAGAGAATACATTATATGTAAAAGTCTGGCTCCGGTGTATATTTAACATCGCCGAACTCTTCACTCTGGCAATATATAGATTATCATAAGAGAAATATAAGGCACCGATGCAGTACTCACGAGCACTCCTTTTGGCTCTTGGGTCACCCTCTATAATGCTCTTCCGTGATACTTACATTGGGGATGGTCTTTTGTGAGAATAAGCGAGGACTTTGAGGTGATTTTCTCATCTCTCAGGGGTTAGTCTCATGTGAGTGTGGGTTAGTTTCCAGGGATCATTGATTCAGGACGTTACACAAAGTGTTTGGGTGATTTGGGCGCTGAGAGAGCTTTTGCACTGAAAGCTCTCTCTCATTCGCGCCGCATCTCAAATCCTCAGTAATATCTCAAATGTGAGTCTCTTACAAAGTGTTATTGCTTGTTGTTTAGCTTGCGATACCAACCTTGCTTTAACTGATGTTACAACCGTACCAACAGTGACATTTTCTTTAATGTGTATGGGGCCGTAAATACTCTTATCCCAAATTGGCGGTTTATTATTTCTGTCGACCACATCTAATTCAACGTCGACATCAGCGTACGAAGGTGGTTCCCCTTTATCAGAGGCACGAACCCTCAGTCGGTATCTATCTCGCTGTTCGCACAAAGATGGCGGGGTGTGAACAGAAAAAGAAAAGCAACAAATAAAATTCAATAACTAAACAAATTGTACATATTATTGTGATTTTCTCTCATTTTATCAATCACTTAATGTATAGTTACTTTAGGACGTTGGACGAAGTGTGAGCTTTTTCCCTTCTTTTTCTTTTCTCTCCTTATTTCTTTCGTTATAATTGCATGTTGTTCTTTATTAGCAATTTACTTTTATCTCATCTTTCCAAAATTATAGCAAGACAAAAAATATAGAAAAGGAGACGAAAATAAAATGGAAAACACACACACAAAACATTGAAAATCAAAATTAAGGATGAAGATTAGGGATAAAACACAGATTGTCATTTCATTTCCACAAAAATAAAGGATGAAGAATTTGTCAAAACATAAATATAGCACTGGAACAAGAAACATATAGAAATGGAAGATGAAATTGGCAAAGACCGAGGAGAATGATAAAGGTTTCTGATTCTAAATGGCAAAAATAATTGAGCCTTTATAAGGAAAAACAGAATTTCCTAAACTACATTTAACCTCAAAAATCAAATTGATAGACTTAAATTATATACTTCTATCATCTATATCTATAATGATTTAAATTGAAAATAGGAAATCAGCGATGAACAATACGTTGAAATGAATTTAAAACAAAATCTGAAAGTTTGTATAAAAAGTATTCAAATGATTTATGGATGTGACGATTGACGTATTTTGCCAGATTGTAAAAAAAATGCGCGCTGCAATAGTGTGAGTGCAAAAAAGTCCCATTTGCACACAAATCATTTGAATAATTTTATCCACTGTTTTTTTTACTGCTTCCAAATTCAGCAACATGTTTTATCAGAAAAGAACACTTCTATTTGTACCATTACATTTTTTGTCAATGTCTCCAAACCAATATTGAACAAAATGGGTACATAAATTAATTTGTACGTGTTTCATGGATGAAAATGCATGTGAATACTGTCAATAAATGATAAATGGTTTGTATTTTGTGTATTTTTATCACAGCCCACGCTGTGCAGTGATTTTAAATTTCATCAATGAAACACATGAAACTCTTTTTCTCAGGGTAGGATTAAAACAGGCGAAATGAATAACATTATAGCGAGATTCAATGGGAAATATGCCTAACGAGTAATTTAATCTTTTATGATTGAATTCATAAATCTCTAAAAGAGATTCATTATTGGCTACCACAGATATTACTTTTATGAAAAATCAACGAAAACAAAACAAAAATTCCTCGTGAACTCATGACTTTGTTATGTTACACTGGCCACAAAATACCACTAAGGACGAGTTTTCTCAAATTTGTGCCAATATCTCCAACATTTCTTTAATTTTTCTTCACGAGAAAATCCATCCTCAACAGCTGTTTGTTAGGAAACGCGACAGACAGTCACAATTCCCCTTTAAAATTGCTACTTACAGGGTAGCATCTCTTCCGGAGACAAAATGGTTTTCACAATCCATTTACAAAAACCACAGAAAATAATTCGGAAAAAAGAAAATAAGTTCATATTATTCTTAACTTTAAGTATAAGTCTATCATCTCAAATGTTTCGATATATTTGAACATTAAACTATTAAAAACAATAAGAAAATGGTGCATCATAAGCAAACCTAAAAGAGAAATTAAATATACATAATACAAAATGACAAACTAAAGAAATATTTCAAATATCCATGGCCCAATGTCACCTTATGAGCTGTATTTCTCGAGTAAATTCACATTTAAATAAATCTTCTCCATTTTCAAGAAATAAAGCCACTGAAGGCCATTCAACTCAGACTATTTGTCATTTCTTTCATGAAATTTTACCAAAATATTTCTTTATTTCACATTAAACATAAATTTTCTATGACAAGCAGGCATTTCATGCAATTTCATCAGGACAAAATAAGAAAGAATAATTTTAACAAAAAATTTCTTTTTAAATAAATTTAAAAAAAAACTGAAAACAGAGGAAAATATTGACAGCATTCCAACATAAAAATATGTTCTGTATTTGGACGAAATTTGGAGTATTCGATGATTATTATTTGAATATCTTTGCATAGTAGAAAAAAAGAGATAAAAACAAGAAACACTGAACAAGAATAAAAACAAAGTTTCACGGTGGAAAAGGATTGTGATTGAGGAAATCTTGTATACAAAAAAATCGTATTTCATTTATTTATTTACACAAAAACCAAATGTAAACATTAAAAAAATAAATACCGCCATATTAATTCCACGATGAACGCTTTTGTACTTTGTTCGTCCAAAAATTGCCGCGAAAAATTTGGTTAATGCTTTGCCCCAAACACGAAAGGAAAATGTCACTCTTCCAACACTGAAAAATGTTGTGCATTGGTCCTCAATTAACAAAAAAAATTTTGAATATCAAGGAAATTAATTTTTACGCCAATGCCAAAAATGGTGGAAATGATATCGATACCAAAAATATGTGTTTTTTTCTCTTCATATTAAATGTCCTCTGTCTTTTGTTTTAAGAGTTTTCTCTACTCTTTTCTTCATGTTGAAAGGTTTAGGAAAAATTTGCATAAAACACTCTGTCTCGCCTCAGATTCTATTCCAGCTTTTTTCAGCACTGAATGACAGAAATGAAATAAAGGACTATTTAGACCATTTCAATTCATTCAGTGCCCAAAAAAATGGGCTCTTGGGTGATACCAAAAATACTATGGGCATCAAAGGATCTGCCGTCAGACCAACAACACCCTGAAAATGGCCAAAAATAAGTCACAAAAATCACAAGCATCCTATTCAATAGCGAATGACTTCTTTCCGTCAAACCCGGACGATGGTCGAGTTGTTGTTTTGCCACCAAACGACGATTTTCACTGTGTGGACTCCAAAAAAGGTCAATTATTTTGTCACACCACCTAAGAAAATGGAAAATGACGCAACAATGTGCGCCCAAAAAGCCCGGAAAATCTTCGACAAAAACAACGATGTGGTCACAAATGGTATTGACCCAAAAAACATCTGCCATTTCTCACCCTGATTACAAATTCAAACAACGCGCTTCTCGCATAATCAACATTACAAAAAAAAACACTATAATTTACACTCTTGTTTTGTTGTCCATTGCAACCAAATCGCAATTTTTATCAAATTTCTTCCGTTTCCTCCACATTATGCTACATGTATTTAAAAAGTTTATGGTAATATTTTTAGTGAATTAAAAAATCAGATTATTACACTTCTTCTCACTCTCGCAAAAAGAAACAAAATCAACATGAGCAGAAAATCACGTCATTGCTTCATGTGTTATGTTTTGTTCTACTTTTTTTTAGAGCAATCAAAAATTCTTTTGCTCACCTGTGGCGATATTGTGAAAATGTTTTAAAAAGAAAATAATGACATTTACCGTTCAGCCAAAATTGCATTCTTTTAGATTTGGCTAAAATCACACTTCGCGTGACTTTTCATGTTCTTTTTTTTAAATTGAAATATATAGTGAAGAAAAATTGCAAGGATGTGCTGTTGAAAAACAACTCAAAAATAAGATAAAACTATTTTTATCAGTAAGAAACACAACAGTACATTAATTGTGCTCTTAAATAAAGAAAAATTAAATAAATTATAACACTTAAATTTAATTCGCGCATTCGTATAATGTCTCTTATAGCTTTTTATCAAATACAAAACTCATCCAAAACCCTGGGATTTGGACATGACATCCCAAAATAGTGAAAATTTGTCAAGTTGAACGGAAAAGTTAAGAACAAACTCAAGTCAAAACTGTGATAAAATGCACTTTCTCTCATCTTGCATTGTTTTTCGTTTATATTGTCCTTTTGCAATCAAATATGATTTCTGTCTTGAAATTGATTTTGTTTATTTCAATAAATATTCTTGCAACTCAAAATAATTGTGCTGTAAGGAAGAAGAAGCAGACTAAAGAATATTATGTTTGTTAGTTATACACTTTTGCAACGTCAAAACTTCAATTTATCAAACTTTGTATTGACGTTACAAAATTGTAATTCAAACGAGAAAATAAACTAATGTATAAGAAATTATTCTCCTCTCAAATTTCACAAGCATCCCCATATTGTTTTTAAAATAAATATTCTCTGCTAAATCACTATCATTAAATGTTATTTCTTCAATAATTTCTCAACAATATTTGAATTTCTGCGGCAGCCATTTGTTGAATGTTGTTGCCTATAAATAATCCCTAAAATTGTTCATCAAACGAAAAAGAAAGCATAGTCAAAGTGCCTCTCATTCTCGAGAGAGTCTCTTCTGGTCATAACTCATATCTTATTATAGTGTTTTACAAATATTAATAGCTATTAAATAAAAATATTTGTGTTTACATAAAACCAGAGAGAGAGACTGAACGGAGGTAACAAAAATCGTCCTCAGAATATTATCGTCAACATTCACGCCGCATTCACATAAACATTCATCTCAATTGCTCAGAGCGACAAGAGTTTTTGAAAAATGAAAGGCTAAAACAGAATCTCTCGTCTCTATGGTCAATCTTTGGGCTTCTTGTTCCTCGAGGGAACGAGAAACGCACCGATGGACCGCATTATGAGCGTCAAATGAATGCAGTTTAGAGAGATGTTCAAATACGGCAAGAATCAGTGGAAAGCTACTCACGTCTAGTGGCTTTTTGAGGACAATCCAGCCAGATTCTGGCTGTATTTCGAAATAGTCCAAATCTTGGGGATTGTACGGCGCACTGAGGCTGTAAATGATGGCACCATTGTTGTCAGCATCCTCATCAGAGGCGGAAACTCTCAATATGTTCGTTCCGATGCTCGCATCTTGTTTGACATTCTCCACGTATTTCTGTATATTTGGATAAAGAGAAAGAGAGAGAGTTTACATAAGAGCCCAAATTGGTTATTCAAGGGGTTTGTTTCGATGGAGAAACACTCCAACTTTCAGGTGATCATTGACATTCAAACACTCTACCTCAGATACTCGCAGTTGAGAGACTTTTTCAGAGCTCACACAAAACAATTGAGATAAACTTGTTGGACAAACTTCTCAATTGTAGCCTCATTTACATAACTATTGGTATCCAATTATATTCTCGCTCCTTCTTATCGAGTACATACACATCGCAAGGAAGTTTAAATTGAAAATAGATTCTTCAATTTGCAATTTCTGATTCTTCACACATCTAATAAATTATTCCAAACTTTTCAAGTTTACTAATCCATTGCAACTTTGCTCATTTCAAACTTTAAATGTTATATAATTCAAGAATTTCTACTGTAAATCTAAGAAGACTTTCCCATATATGTGTTTATCTCATAAGCTTTTGAAGAGTGAATAAAAAAAAGGACAGAATTTTGTCCAAGAATTGCTCTAATGGTAATCTGTGGTAGCAAATCATCAATGATCAACTGAGTTGAGCGATTAGAAACCTGTCTATCGAAGAGTGGCGGATTGTCGTTGACATCAGTTATTTCCACTGTGAAGGAGCAAACACCCTCCAGACTCGGCTCCCCCTGATCCGTTGCCTTCACCGTCACAGACACGAATTTTCCATCATCACCTTCGCGGTCGAAGACTTTGTTCGTCGACACCTCGCCAGTCTCCTCGTCCACTGTGAACTTTGTACCCTTCTGATTGGGCTGCTGAACGATTGAGTACTTCACTTGCCCATTGACGCCCTTGTCCTCATCTGTTGCCTGGACCTTGATCACAGGACTCCCATTCGGTGCTCCCTCCTCGACTTTCGGATAGTATGTGCCGCAGTCCTTAAACACAGGTTTGTTGTCATTCACGTCCGTGATGAACACAACAACGACAGCTGTTGACGTGTGGATTGTTGCATCACCATTGACACAGCAAGATCCATCATCCATGGCGGTCACATTCAATTCATACTTGTCGCGATCGAGAGTTATCATCTTGCTGTGAAGACGAATCACACCCGTGATCTCCTCAATCACGAACTGTCCGCTGGTTGTGCCACCGCCCACAAAACCAAACCGCACGTTGTCACCGTCCTTGTCAGAAGCAACAACCGTCGTTACAAGTGTGTTCGGCCCAGCATTTTCATCCACATTCGGTGTATAAACTTGCTGAGAAAACTTGGGCTCCTCGTCATTCTTGTTTTTCGTGTACACGCGAACTGTGGCCGTTCCTGTCTTCGATGGCTCTCCCTTGTCCTTAGCCGTAACGACAAACTCGTAGTATGCATTGTTGTTGTCAGCATCCAGTTGCTTGTTGTTCACGATAATTCCATTGGAGTCCACGGCAAAGTGATCATCCGACACGAGGTATTCAATCTCCGCATTGGCCCCAGAATCTGCATCCATCGCCTTCACTTTGAGAATGCTTGTGCCAAGTGGTATGTCTTCATCCACATTGTGAGCTTGGTAATCAGGCAGCTCAAACTTTGGGGCATTGTCGTTGACATCAGTGACACGAATCGTTAGCTGTGTGAGAGGAAGAAAGATTCAGTGATTTACAACCGACATGATAGTTTGTGGTCCACTCTACCTCAACTGATGTGGAAAATCCACCAGAATCTTCAGTGGCTGTCACAACGAGTGAGTACACGTGCGGTTGGCGTAAATCCTCAAAATCCAACTCTTTGGCCAGCTTCACGATGCCAGACGTCGGTCCAATGTTGAAAGTGCCCGCGCCTTGGCCCTGAGCTTTCAGCGTATATCGGATTTCTCTGTCGGCAAAGGATTTCGCCTTCACGGAAATTATGCTGCGAAGAAGGTACGAATTAGAAACATGCATCTTGCACTCACCCTCGAGTGGTGTAGAAAGTCAACAGTATTTTTTACCACAAGTTTACGAAATACACAGTAAAGGGAAAATGTGTAATTTTTCGCATGGTATAAAAGTGACAAGAGCTGCAAAATTTCCACACACACACACACATTTATGTATAACCTGGCCAATTGGTTAGAGAATGGGACACTTTTATCAAAATTACACATTTTGGGTGTAATTGCACGAAAGTTGTATGAAATTACACAACAAAATATCAGGTACATGCAGAAGTTTTCACAAATCAGGGACTCCAGATTCACATTTTCAACTTTACAAACATACATTGAAACACATTAACAATTTTAGACGACAGAAAGGGTACACCAAAAGAGAGGCCAATGAACGTAGCCAAGAAGGTTTTTCGTCACACCCCTTAAAGCTGTAAAAAAAACTTGTTATGTTAGGATCTGCGATATTTCATGAAAATAGACATGATTTTAGCATCTCAAATATCATTTGACCATATTTTCTACAAGATTTTCATTAGTTATTCTTATGTAATTCCGCTTAAAATCGCTCTTTCTCTATCAATATTCGAAGAATTTGACTTCTCTGAATATTATACGGAATTCCAACTAAATAATTATTACTGAAATAGATTACATCTAAAAATAATGTACTGCTTTTATTTAATAACTGTCGATGTCAAAGAAATCTGATAATTAGGGTGGTTTTGGCTACGCCCATGAGAAGGCTTATCAATTTGTACGGTCAATCGTCTTCTAAATACTTTGAGGAAACATTTTCAACTGGGGCACATACATACTTACCACGAGGATAAGGGGAAATTCTGTGAAATTTTGAAATTAATATTCTCAACCAATTGGCAATGATGGTTTTAATTTGAAAATAATACGAAAAAAAACTTTTGCATGTCCCCAATACGTGGAAATTTACACCGATTTTCGTGAAAATTTTCAGATCTCTTACCACGCTAACTTATGACAATGTAAAGCATTCAATTGAAGTCTGTAAAAGTGAAAAATCAGCATAAAATTGCATGTTATCGCGTAGAATTACACATTTTTGGCTATTTAGAGGTTGCCCAAGAAGTCAAATTTTGAAAATTATACACTCAAGACGTCATTTAGAACATCTCACCGCGAATGTCGGCTATATAGTGCGCATTATTGCGAAACTTTTGAGCTCCTCTCCCCATTCAAAACTCACAACAAGATGAAGTATACTTGAGAAATTTAATCCCTCTCTAAATTGCAATGAAATCCTCCAAGAATAAACCATTTTCGCGAGGTAGATTCTTGAAAATCACCAGTTTGTCCACTTACATAAATTTTCCCTTTGATTTTATTTAATTCATCACGGAAAACCACAATATCCGCGCGCATTTTCCCACACTCAAATTAGATCCTTTAATTATGGATTTAAATTTTCTGTAAAATCAGGAGTGAAAGAGTGAAAGGAATTGGATGGGATTTGTTCTTACTCTGAATCCTTCTTCTGATTCTCAGGAATTTCCGCCTCATAGCTCGGCATGTAGAACTGCGGAGCCCTCTTGCCGCCAACAATCGACAAGCGCTCCTCTGGAGTGCTCTGGAAGCGCCTCTCATCCACTTTGCCGTTCTGATCTTCAGCCTTCACGTACAGCACGTACTCCATGTCAAGCTGAAAGAGGTCCGTACCGCGGGTTCTCACCACACCTGACCTCTCGTCCACCTCGAATCTGAACGCAGGCGAAATTGAATTAGTGGTGAGGAATACAGTCGAGAAGAGCAGACAAAGTAATTCACTGATTTGCACTCTGCAAACTCTGCACACAAACTGAAATACTTTCACATTGCAATTGAAAATATTTAAAATTTTACAATGATATTCTTTGGTAGGTTTACCAATGGACAATTTTATGTGACATCAAATTAATCAAATTTATTTAAAAATAGTTTTTGTCGGTTTTTGGTGACGAATCTTTTCCATTAATCAACATACAGTTGATCAGAAATTTATCAGAAAATCAGGTCATTTGCAATTACTATTCTATTCACGTACTCAATTTATCATTTGAGTTATCACTTGAGTTTGAATTCAATTTTAACAAAATCGAATTTGTTGTGTGGAATTTAAAGAAAAAGAAATCTTCAAAATCATGATGAGTTATTTTGATTACCGAATGAAGTTTCCATTAATTTCAGATAAACACACACGCAAAGCAATGTAATTAATCCATTGTAAATTTCTGTCTGTTTTCATTCAATCTGTGAACTTCATCATGTCAAATTAGTTCGGGATAAGCAAATTAACATTGATGTCAAGTTTCAGTGGGTTTTTTTGAGTGTAATGCAGTAAATTCAATGAATCAATTGGCATGAGCGGTCAATTTCATCGGCCGCGGCCATCAATTACCTTCCTCCAGTTCTGTCTCGCACGATGAAATAGTGAATGTTGTGGTCAGTGTCCGGATCCCTTGCCTGCAGTGTAAACACGGGAGTGTTTGGCGGCGCATTCAGTTGAACGACAGCCTGCATCGGCAGTGGTCGATTTATAAAATACGGTGGTTCATCATTTACATCTTTGACGTGAATTATAACTCGCTGATTGTCAGTGTCTGCACAATGGAATGTTGGGATGTTGCGTAAAAGGTCGGACATGAAGAGTAAACCATGAGAGAGAAAAGAGTTGGTTAATGGTACACACAAAAGAGCCCTCTCCAGGTATTGTGTGGCATTTTCCCTCCTTCCAGCCATTTATATCATCACTCTCTTTCCTTTCCTATCTCAGGCCGTGCACAGAGAAGGAATCGCCCCCTCGAGCACGAGATGGAATGATCATATCAAATGCACACAGAAGGAAGGAAAAACTTTTTCAATTTCATTCCCTTTTCACTTACATTTGAGACCAGCTGCTCCAAATATCGTTCCGTTTCGGGCCACACGAGAAGACCATGAAAAAGAAATGAGAAAATTAATATTACCATTCAATTTAACCCCAACAACACAACAGCAAAGGAAGTGACACGATGTGAAAAAGCTCCTCCACTTGAACTTTTATCTCATTTCTCATCCCCTTCGCGACTTCCACCTTTCAATGTCCGCCCAGACTTTCCCGCGCGCTTTGCTGCGCGAATCTACCATCCCAAAGTACACAACACACATCCAATTCATCCGACAGAACAATTATACTGAAAATTGAATTGTCGTTGCGACTAAATCAATTGAATTTCAACTCTTTCACCCAATATGTCTGCCATTCACACGACTAAACATGTTAAACCTTCTGGCAAAATGTGGCTTTAACGTCTTCACTCAATTTCACTTTTTCCTCCGTCACATTGAGTGAGTCAATTTCCAGCATTTCTGCTGAATCCCACAATTTTGTATTAAAAAAAAGGCAGAGGAATTGATTAAAGGACTCAATTATATAAATGAAGCGCATTATAAAGTCTGCAGTTGAATTTTACATACTCAAAATAATATATGTAGTTAATTAAAAAAAATTATGTGAATTTACTAGGTCTTGTTTCCAGCGCTTCTGACTTTATAATTTCTCTCATGCATTTTGAATAATGAATTTCATATATTTAAATAGGAATATGTCGTGTTACTTTCGAATTTTCGGTATTTCTATGAGATGTTCTGTTTTAATTGTTATTATTTAATTTGCTTATGCTTTTATTGTCTCTGATATAAATTCATTTCATGCATTTGTATTTGAATAAATAAATATCGACTGTTTTATATCTGGGCATTCGTATTTTTATAACCATTTCTCCACAAATAAATGCTATGTGATTTTAAAATTCAGAAAAATTCAGAATATTTATGTGGGAAGTATTTATGATTCAGATAGAAAAATCAATATCGCGAATTATATTTGTCTCCTACCGAGTTTTGCCATTTAAAATTCATCATTCAACTAAGCAATTAAATATCCATAAAAGTTTTATTCCTCTGCTGAGATGTAAAGAATAGCAAATATTAATTACATCGAATCTTGTTAAAAGAACATTTTTCTCTCTCAGCATCGACAAAATCCATCAATTCCGAATGGAATCGATCAAAATTGAATTAATTCGATAAAAAGACTTAGTCAGTGAAATTGTGGAAAAGTCCATGATTGAGCATCTTCAGAGCTCTCAAGCTTTCCTGTAACGCACTCTCAGACGTTATTGCCACGATATAGAGCTCCTGACGGACATGCTCACCATATATTCTCCCCTCAAAAAGCACATCAACGTCACTCACACCCGGAAAAATGTCATAAGAGACCCAAGATTGAGGAGAAAAGTCGTCCTGCTGCTGACATGCACGCTATGCAAACACATAGCATCATTTACATCCCATTGAGAGTGCTTTTTCCGAGCATCCCACACCTTAATTCTTGTCTCGTGCTGCCGGAGACAAAAGACATTGGTAATTAATTACGCGAGAATTTCTAATTTGACTATGGAATGAGGCTGACGCGGTGAATTGAAAAAGAAACACTCACGCCCACCCGGCATTGTAATTAAGTCTTGTATCTCCACTCCATTTCAATATTCTAAACTCTCACTTATTCCGGGAACTTTATGCTAATTAAAGATCATCGCGCGACTCAGAGATAAGATAATAATTCGACCTCTTCAACGCTCTGCTATGCGATTTGGAAAACCATGGAGAAATGCAGATGTGACACAAAGTATGCCATTACAGACTGGCAAAACTCTCACCTTGAAGCTTATTTATCTGTGTCTGGACGGGGCGGGAATCCAGAAATCAATTATCAATTCTGCAACACTCCCACTCTTCGTGAAATGAAGCAAGAAAATCGCATTGTTCCAAGGGGAGGAAACTTCCGAACTGTATCCCCTCAATATTGTATCAAATTTTCCTCCCTATTGATTTTCCTTCCCTGACGCTCTTTCCAACAAATTGTTATTGTTTTGACGTGGAAGTGGAGGAAAACAGGGAAAGTGCCAACACCAAGTGAGAGATTGCCAAATAGATGAACATCTCACCTGCTGTACAAGTCACAAAGTGGGAAAATCAAGAGGAATTTACTTCAAAGAAAAGAAATTATTCAAAGGAAAAATAAATAGAAGAGAGTCTTATTTGAGATTCTCGGAATAGAGACGAAATTCAGCTATACAAACTGTTTAAGAGTTTGTACCATAGGAATAAACACAGTGTGAAAAGATTTACACTAAATTGCCGCCGCTCTTTCTGAGTTCAAATTTGCTATTTCCTTATAAATATAGATTTCAATAAAATATAAAACAAAAGCTCATCGATATATGTATATGATCCCGTAGAATTCTTCGCTTTATACACGAAAACCATTCGTAATATCATCCCTGCTATTAAGAATAATTGTTCCTTTAATCAATAAATGGAACTCATGAGAACGAAAGCCATAGAAAATTTCCGGAATTCTCCCACTCTTTGTGGGTCAAATGTGGGGGAAACTGGAGAACGAGAAAAACGCCACACCATGTAGAACCAATAAACTTCATTGCATTATCGTATATCCATCTGTCGAAATTAATTACATTTACACTTTCTTCTTGGTGTCCCACCCAAAATATTCCAGCACACCCGAGGCTTCCAGTGAAAAATACTGAGCGCGATATATCTGAGAATTTGAGCATATAAATAAAATTACATGATAGTGTCCGGTCATATGGAGAGGCGCGCGTAGTGAAAAAAGCGCTTTTGATTTCAATATCGTGATCACATCGCATAAAAGCCGTGTTGACGAGCTTAAATGAAAGAACACCAAAATATATTGTAATTTACCTTTCTTCCTCATCTCTCACACAGATACACTCAACATGACAAGGTGTAACATAAATCTTATTAATGTTCTTTCCTCTCTCTCTCTCACTCTGACTGTTCGTCACACACGCAGTCAATTTCACTCTCATGCCTATAATACAAGCACTCCTGAACAAATTAAACCAGAAGACTTTCTCACTTGATCAGATCCTTTGAAAAGCTCATTGTGGATAAGACTTTTCGACTATCGAGAAAGAAATTACTTTCACATATTATTCCAGATTAATATTTCCCAGACATTCTCTCATAATATGAAACTTTTCCTATTTGAATAGCACGTCAAACCTTCACAAAGACTCGGTAAACCCATTAAATCCTGATAAATATTGAATTACGGTGCGGTTGGTAGCAAATTAGGCCTTTTTTAACCCAATTCTGCATTTATTAAAGCTCATTGAGAATATGTCCATACCATATTCAATCATCCCAAATTGGTCTGTGGTCATTCATATTGTATTTCCAAAATGATTTTTCACTGTAAACCACCCACTTCGCTTGCCATTATTATCCATTGATCTAAAGTTAAAAACTGATTAAATTACCTATAATGCTCTTACACGAAGAATTTCTCTTGATGGCACAATAAAAATTCCATTTGGAACAGTGGTCGGGAACACAAATTACTTCTTTCACATTTGCTTGATTTCTTCCTCACACGAGATTAGAAACACAAGAAGTCAGCATATCGATTTCACTCCACTGCCCAACCACAATCAATCACAAATTAAAACACAAACCATCACATTCTTGGCTAGTCTTTCAGAGAATTCCTCATCTTTCTACCATCTTCCGTTTTTGTCTCTCACAGCAATTAAATTCACAGCAATAGAAATGCAGAAAGGCGAGGGAGGAAAAACGTCCTCAAGACATAATGTCTACAATTGAATATACTCTATGGCTTTCATGTAGAAAACTGCGGGAATTCAATTAAGCAATAATTTATTTGCACAGACAAAAATACGTCTACGAGAGAATGCTGTGAATATACGTTTCCGAACACGATGGTACTTTATGCCAACTCACCCAAAAAGAAGTATCACACAGACGTACACACACACACACATACCATTATCCCCATGGAAAATTTGGGAAAAACCACCCCTCAAGCTTCAGCAATTCACGTCACCCTCATAATTTTCTCCTCCAAAAATTCTTAGACGAAGAAGAAATAAAATAAAATTGATTACACAGATACAACATTGAAGAATTTTCATCGATTTTTCTGCACCACGCCCCATTTCACATTGGCAACGTTCTGTACCGAAGAAGTGTCTGAAATCCCATCAGCCCAAAGAATATTCTTATCGACTTATGCCACACTTCAAATCTATCGAATGAGTTCAGCAACACCGATTTGATACACAATAGAATTAATATGAAAAGTTTCTGCATACACTCAAAGTGCAATTGGATGAATTCTGCCTAAAGCTCCTGGATAAACTAAACAATTAATTGGTTTCCTTGCAAGTTTGTCGTATAACCTTTTCCCAAAAGGAACGATATAACTTTTCAAATATTCAGTTTGTAATAGCGTCCTGTCCATTGGAAGTGAAGTGTTATGCCAGTGAAACGCCTAATGTATTGTATAGTTATAAAAACAAGCGACAAATAAACAACGCTCTGGATTAACAAACATACAGAATTACATACATGTATACGAAATAGTAGGTACAAATTTAATTTCCTAACAGTTATAGTAAGATACTTTTGAGAAGTTATTGGTAAAGACATCGGGAATAACTTATTCAAAAGCCTAATAAGAGTCTTCAATTCCGAGGAAAGGAGTTGAATGTTAATCCTCCTTTTGAAACTTTTCCAATCAACTAAAATATCACCTTAGCCGTCTTATATATGTACATAGCTTGTCAGGCAGTTAAAGCGATAAAATTCAATTTTTCTCTCAATTCTATATAAACAAGGAGATATTGCATGAGAAAATTCAGAGTTTTGGCTATAAAATCCGAATTAGATGCCAATTTCGACTATTTTCGCCTGGATTTTCCGTGGCAAATTTTGGGGTGAAAGTATCAAAGTCGATTCCCAACCATTCTCTCGTCGGTGATTCTTCAATATTTCATCGCAATGACTC